TAGTTAAAAATTATAATTTCAAAAGGTTTTAATAAACAGTTATAAATTAAACGATAAACTTTCTACTATAAAAACTTTTAAACTATCGAGATTATAATCAATCCTAATTTAATTTGAAAATATTAACTGTTGAAAACAAACATCCATTTTTTTCGTGTAATTAAAATAGCAATTGTTTCGACTAATTATTTTATTATACATGAAAAATTTAATATATAATAAAGATATAAAGCATTTTTCCGAACGGCTATCAAGTTTAATAATATATTCTATCAATAATTTAAATTAACATGAATAAATTTTTGTATCTGAATTTTCAAGTATTTTTCTTTGATAAACCTTCTTTAATCGTATGTTATATGAGAATACGTCTGTGATTCTCTTAGAAGACAAAACTTCCTGAGTGAGAGAACAGTATATACAATTTACATTTTATAGCCGTAATCATACAATTTTGTACTATAAAAATTGTATTACCTACGCAACGTAAAAAGAATTCTTGTAATACGATTATAAATATCTCTAACTCATACAAAGAACTGAAACTATAAAATTTAAGCTTTGTTTGTTCTTTACTTTCGAATGCTCAGATTAAAAAGGTAGAGAGATGTAGCTAAAAAAAACAAAGTACTTATTACTTGAGCTTGTATTTTAACACAACTGAATCTCTTCTAACAGTATCCTGATCAATAGCAAACAACAGCCTATCAATCAAATTCTTCTGTCTGACCTACTTTGACTTAATAGATCTTTAAACGAATTACTTGGTATAAAAACATTTTTTCCCTCTCTCTTAAACCAACATCAACTAGTGTTCACCTATGCTTTTACTTTTTTCTATAAACTTTAAAATCTCTTCTAAACATTTTTAAGATATGCCTAAAGGGAAACAACTTGCGGTTATCGATAAAAGTTATATCTGCATTCTGACTCTTCTACTTTTCCTCTGTTATAAAAAAAAAGAAATGATATTGCACGTATCATTAATCTTTTTCTACATAAAATTTCCGAACGTATTGATCTGATGACAATTTTCGCTTTCGACGTATTTGAGCAGTAGTATCACCATTTAATTATAGTTTATTTATAAATGACGTATAATTTATCTATTTAATTATGTTCCGATTATCAGCCTACTTAATTACGAGTTTGTTTATTTAATTTTACAAACAGAAAATTAGGGTAATTATGAAATTAAATTTATCCAAAAATAATCNCTTAAAATAATATAAATCAATAAATATATATATATATATATATATGTATTTTTACTTATCTCAGTGTAAAAAATTTAGATCTAGAGAACTAGAAAATAGAAAGAAATTCTAAAGTAGCCATTTTTATTTTCTAGTTATGTCAATAGTTGAGTAGTTTTTAATAGCTAAAACCTGACGCGACAAATCTTTATCAGCTCGTTCCATGTTTTATTGAAAGAATGATAAATTTTTTAACTTTGACAATCATTGGTACAAATTTTATAGTTTCCTTATACTTAATATCAAACTGTTGACTACAGAACACAAGAATTTATTCAAACAATGCACTTTCATGATTTTTTGATGTAACAGTTTCGTATATTCTTTCTCAAAATAATACCCTATGTAGCTACAAGAATATTAAAGCTGCATTATCTATGTTTTTCTTGTAAATATGTTACCTTTTAGCAGAAATAAATATCAGCTTTCAAAAATAATTTTTTATTTATTTCAAGAATGTTTTAGTTATATTTAATATTTTAGAATAGTTGATATATGTCAACTATTCTAAAATATTAAATATAGCTAAATCTTTTATAAATCTTAAATATTTTACTTTTTAGCTTATATCTAAGATAATCCAATTTGATAATAAGTTAACTATTACTTTCAATAAATATAGATTGTACAATTAATTTACTTTTTTAAAATGAAATTTATATGGAAACTTTTTGGCTTGTTTTGTGTCAATTCCATTTTATTAAAATTATAATAAAAAATAATTTTAATAATCTGGGGCTGTTGAGATAAAATGTTTTAAAACTCAGAAATGATTATTAAAAATGTTTAAATAAAATTATGATAAACATAAACAATAATAGTAGTATTAAGTTTAAATTAAAATAGGACATCTTACAGTTTAAAACAGCAATACAACTTTCGAAATGGCGAAAGCTATACTATGACATAGGCTATTGTATGTTCTCCCTTGCTACCTCCTCTACAAAAATTACCAAACTAAGCTCTTTATCATAACACTGTTATAAAACGTTGGGAAATTAGATTAAAAAACCATTAATGGTGATAAAATACATTTTACTTTAACTTTACTAACTGCCGCTAATGCAAACACTGGCACTCATGAAAACTAAATAGTTCTTGTAATTAACTGGTGCAAGACTTTTGAACATCACTATTTAAAGCGATTATTGAAAAAAAAGATTTGCTGAAATATGCAATTATTGTCTGTCTTGTGGTAGATCACAGAAGCACTTTACAGGTTGCCTGTTGGTCATCGCTGGCTTAAAATATGAAAAAGATAATTAATTTAAATTATTGTAAAGTTAAAAACAAAGTAAGCTGTTGCTTATTTAATATTTTGCTTATTACTACTATAAACAGTAGTAATAATCAAAGCATTACTAATTTCAAAAATTGTAATATATGTTCCTTTAATTAACTTATTTTTGTTATATTGCTAAATAGGAAAGGTTAGAGTTCTTTATCGTTATTTCATATCAGGAGCAAGATAATGAGTGGTGTAGAATTTCCTGTTAATAAAAGTACAGTAGGCTTATGTATACTAAATTCTACAACGCTATTATTTGAATAATTATCATCCCGATATTTCAAGCATAAGACTGAATGATTAATTAAACTGTATAAATTTAGATTAATAGGTGGTACAATTTACTCATTAGAAGAAAAATATTTTCTGCAGACAATAAATGTACAGTATTTTATATTAATGCGTACCAGAAGTATCCTCCTTAATATCAAATTTAACATTCATAATTTCATCCATTTGTTTCTAATTCACAAAATAACTATTGTAACTGTAAAAACTAACGCCATTAGTTCAGAGAGGCTACAACGTAGAAGCTTCAAAATTTAGTTTTTTTTAATGTAAAATATATAAATGAATGATTCTTTAGAAAAATAATAAGCAATATGTTTTTATTTGCTTTATTAATTTTATTCATATACTTTTATGGCTTTCAGAGAGAAATGGAACCGTTCTCACCTTTTCAGGCCTAGCGTAATTGATAATATTTGTTTAATGAATTCGCATTCTGAACGGAAACATCGGATTAATAAATTATTTAAGCTATATTATTTACTTTAATCAATACGGTTCAAACAAAAAAAATAAATAAATAATGATAACAAAATTATTATTCCTGATTAATTTTTCAAATATTTATTGCATTTCTGCACGAAATACCCAATTACATGGTTACTTTATTGATATTNCTTGATAATTCAACTACGCTTGTTGGAGAACAATAAAAACACTACACTCAACAAGCCACCAATAAAACTCAACTGCCTAACCTATAACCAAAGTCTCCTTTTAATTTGTTTTTAAAAAAAAGCGCTTGACAAACTTGCCCCGCATGCCGAAGTTGCCCCGGTCTCCCCTAACTAAATAAAAAATATAATTAGCGTTTTCTCTCGCATTTTTCTGTATTGCAATTTAATAATATAGTTACATCTAGCTTCAGATATTGCTTTTGTTAATATGCTGAAAAATGATATTCTGATCTATTAATATTTAGCCTCAATTTATTACTTAATATGCTTAATACATGCTAATTGGATTTAATTAGTATGTTTTAATACCAGAACTAATAGCTTCATGTATTAATTAATAGGTCTTAATATCTAAGTTTTAACTTCCTGTATAATTATGATCTACTAAATAATTTCTGAATTATTAGATTTATCTATGATTTTTAAATAAAATACTCTATTTTAACTATATTTTTATCATTTATTTTCATAATTTAAGTCTGTATTTTGTTCCATAAGTCTAGGGTCCGTAGAGATTAAGAGAAACCGAGACGCTTATCATTTTGAGTCCCTAATACATGTATGTTAAAAAACGATGATGACAAATTATATTATATTTTTTAAATAATAAAATTTAATTAAAAAATAAAGCTTTATTAACACATAAAAAATGCAATGAAGCAAATAATTTGTAACAAATCTTTTTAGATCTCTTAAACATGAGGCTCGGGTCAAAGGGCCCTACTTGCTCCCTTGGCTGATTACGGGTGATAGTAGAACTTGAATAAATCTATATTTACTTTGTTTCCATTTATATATGAGCCTATAATTAGATAATAAAAATTTTGTTTATTTATGCATAAATTTCAAGTTATTAATTTAAACATTAAAATTTTATTTAACTCGAGAACATAAATCTTGTGCTATTTAAAATATTAGCTTTAATTATAAAGAATATGATAAGTAATAGGATAACTAATTTTTAATTAACTTATAAACTTGTCAATCTTAAAATATTCCACCAATATTCTCAGTGCTGGTCTTAAACCGATTGAATCGATAGAACCTAATAGGGCCCTCTGTAGAGTTATAACCTCCGGAAAGGGAGAAAATTTTCATTTTAAAGCTGAACTTGTCTATATTTTGTGAGAATTGCAGATTTTATAATTATCAAGATTATAAAGTACAGTGTAAATATTTAAGTAATTTCGTTTTTATTTAATTGTTTGTTTTTTTAATGATCCTAATGTGAATTCGCATTAAGGCCGAGCGTAAATATTCTAATAAATNGTTTATAAGATTGGGTTTTCGCATTTAAAAGAAAAAAAATATATAATATAATAAAATTAAAAAAAAAATTAAACTCATTTCCCTTTCGAGTAAAAGATTATAAGCAGCGAGAGATAAACAAACAAAATAGTAATGGAGGTTTAAAAAAAGTGTAGTAAACGTTTATAAAGTGCCATACATCTAACTGAATCGATGCATTGGGGGATGTAGCAGACGACTTACCTGTGTTCTCTTTGATCAAAGGCGCGAAAAGAGCCCTTGTATCGATTTTTTAACTGAGACTGCGTTTCTCTGCTTTAACGATATCGAGGATGGTCTCGACTCTTTCCGTTTACTTGTAATACCCTAAATTTTTTATACCCGATAACCTAAACAAAGTAGGCATAACTTTCGTTAATTCTCTTCCGATCGACTCAATCAAATCGATCCGATCAAACGATTAATCGTCTGTTAATGACGTCATTAACCAAGATTGTTACTTAATTATATTAAATCTTTCAATATGTACGAATATTTATTATTATTTTTTAATGTCGAATATTAATATAAAGTAATAAAACATCTGTGAAAATTTTCTGTATAAAGAATAAAAATTTCTCAGTTAATTGGAAGTTTTATAGGTGGAGTATCTAATCGTTATTTTATAAAAATATCTTCGAGATAATAATAAGTTTTCGAATCTATTTAAAATATTTATGAAGTTCTTTAAATGTAGTGAAAAAATTATTATGAATTAATAATCGATATAAAATTTTAAGCATTAATATATATGTAATAAATAAAAACAAATTTAAAAACTTAAAACTTAAATTTAAAGTATTTTCGTCATTATCGATGACGAAGATAATTTTTGTGACGTAGTCTTGGCATCAGTTATAATAATTTAAGCCATTAAAAATTAAATTAAAATTTTAAAACTCTTTTATTTAAATTGAAAAAAAATATATAAATAATTAAATTAGTATTTAAAACTAATTTAATTTTTTTTACTTATAGGAAAAATTGTTTTTAGTAAGCGACTATAAATAAGTAAAAAAAATAAAGAAAAAATAAAATAATTTTTATTATTCTAAAATATCGGAAAATAAAAAATTAAAAAAAAGCTTTAATTTAAATGATTTTTCGCTTAATTTTAATATATAATAAAATCGCATTAAAACATTAATTTTATTTATTCATGTATTATAAAAGATTTCATATAATTTAATGTCACCTTTTTTATTGTATGTTTTATTGTTTACCGTACTTCGTAATCAGAAATAAATTCACTAAAATATCAACGTTAAGCAGTTAAAATGTTTTCATTCGTTTAAATATTTTTAAATTTACCAAAATCTTCCATAAAATATTTGTCTTTAAATTCATTTTATAAAATGATACTTTAGTGATTAACATATATTTAAAATTCGTTAACTATTAAAATATTTAAATTTTATTGATTTTTTAATCGATTAATTATGTTGTTAACAGATTTTCAACTAAGGATAAATGAAATTAATTCAACACTAATAGAGACAAGGCCTCTCATAAATTGACAGAAGCCCGAGTCATTTATTTTTTGGGGTCCCAAATATTTAAAAAAGTCTAAAAATTTTATTTTTTTAAATAATAAAATTTGACGAAAAGTAAAGGGTCTACCTTAATACACAATGAATGCCAAAGAGTAAATAATTTGCAACAGCTATATTTATAACACGAAGCTTACTGTCTCACGATAATCTTTAAGAATTATATTCGCTGACAAGTTTTGAGGATTCATATGGTGTCTCACTCCATATAGACTCACTATGGACCTTCAAGATTTGATGTAATCGCATGTATTACCATCATAGACCCCGAAATCACGTGTTTCCGACATGTATCCTTCCTGTTCCTACTAATGAGCGTCTGTAGATTCTATCATTTATTTATGATCTTGCTGGTTCACCTGCGATTGGGTCTAGATAGAGATACTTCCATATTTTAAAAATGTTAGTACGAATAATGGAGAAAATACCTAAAATTCCGAGATCACGAAACAAAAATTTTATATGTTCTGATAGTTTACAACGTAAAATAATTTTTAAATTTTATTGACTTAAGCAGAAACAAACTACACGTACAGTACATCAATGGGAACAAAAAACAATTTTAACTTACATAATTATTACAATGACATTATAAAGTAATAAGTTTCTTTAATAAATAAAAAAAAAGTAATAAAAATTCTCAGAAAATAAATCATCAAAATCCAGATCTAAAACATAAAAAAATTTCACCTAAAATAATATAGGACAATATGAAATTTATTTTAAGTATTTTATTTAATTTTATTTTTATATTTTTGTTAAAATTTAAAATTGTATTTTAAAATGATTTTATAATCTTTGTTAATTATAAAATGAAATTATTTCATTTTTACGACGTCTTAAGAATGATTTTAATGATTAAAAATTTTAAAAAACACGCAAAAGTTTTAACTTTTAAATACATATGTTAATCATTCTTTAAAGAATTAATAAGAATATTTTTAGATATTTTCTTTCTAACTTTTTAAAAATATCTAAAAATAATTTAATTACAAATGTACTAAATTCGGTAGAAAAATTATTAAAATAAATACATGACATCATTTATTTAAGCAAATTTTAAAATATAATTAAAGAGAAAATATATATATTTATATTTATATTTAACAGTTAAATACTATTAATTACATAATGTTGTTTGAATTTAATTTAAAATCATTTTTAGAAATAGTAAAAAAAAATAATTTTTATGCTATTTTAAAAGTTATTATTATTTTACGAAATAAAATTGATTGCAATTTTATTAAAGATACAAACAAAATTTTAAAAATGCATTCTTAAAAATTTATGAGAAAATAGCGTGAAGAATATTTTATTTATTAAATTCGTGTTAAAATATTCTTCAAGATTCGTTCGTCTTTCAGATCAAAATATAACAATTCTATTAAATTATTTAAAATGTTGTTAATAATTTATTTTTAAAAAGTTTTAATAAATAAATTTATTTATTATTTGAATTTTAAAATGAAAATTTTCTCAGAAAAAAAAATTTTAAATAACAATTTGTGCGTTATTTTTAATTCAAATTTAATATTTTTTATATAATTTTAAGAGAAAAATATTTTCTTCTAACATAACTTTTTAAGTTATTTATCAAATTTTAAATGCTTAAATGATATTAATTATATATTAATTTTTAGAATTTTAATGAAATTTTAATATTTTATTTTTATAATTATCATCTTATTTTATCATCGTATAAGTCCTATCAGGCCACCATAAAAATATAGGCCCCTTGACAAATCTTGACAGCTTAATGGATATTATAAGAGCACGTAAATTTTGAGGGCTCCAAGTTTCACGTGCTCTTATGACGCCCTCATCTGATCTTATGACACCTTCAAATAATCTTATGACATCTAACGTTATCTCAGAGGCTCTTATGATGGCCCCCGAGATGGCATTTCCTGACACGTGTTCTCCCTGTCCTCCCGTGGAGGGCCATGGATTTTATCATTTATTTTGGAGCTTTCTAAAATAGAATCAATCTAGATGAGATGAAGTAGAATATTCCTTGAAGTTTCTCTATTTTCTTTATATACTGAAAATGTTTCTTTTCGTAAATTTTTCTTATTTAAATTTTCGAAAGTATATAAATAAGAAAAAGCTCATTTTAAAACTATTTTCAATGAATAAAATATCTACATTTTATTTATTTTTTATGAAAATTTAAAAATTTAAAAAAGGAAAATTGATCATTTATATTGTCAATCGGGAGTAATTTGTGATGATAATAAATGTCTTTCCAAAAACGGTAGTAATTTTATTTATCTAGAAAAACTTTTCATTAAAATTTTTATGGAATTTATTTTTTTTTATAACTTTAAATCTTTTTTTAATTATTAACGAAAATCTTTAAGATTTAGAAATATATAATTACAGATTATATATATTACACATGGATAATTAAACATTGGATTTTACTTCAATTCTTAGACTAAAATATTACTTAATATTTTTATTAATTTTTATTGTTTATTTATTTTTAAAATTTAGACTATTTGATATATATTTCTCATTTTTATTTATTTGTTTATAAAATTTCTTAATATTCTCAGAATAAAAAACTTATTATTTTAAAAATTTTCAGATGTATTTAAATATTGTACATTAAAAGTTATTAGGACATAATAAAAATCACTTATATTACTTATATAATGTTTTAAAAATATAAGAACTTGTATATTCTTAACATTAGTACTTTTCCTAATTTATATTTGAAAACATTTAAGAGTAGCTTAAAATAATATAAATCAATAAATATATATATATATATATATATGTATTTTTACTTATCTCAGTGTAAAAAATTTAGATCTAGAGAACTAGAAAATAGAAAGAAATTCTAAAGTAGCCATTTTTATTTTCTAGTTATGTCAATAGTTGAGTAGTTTTTAATAGCTAAAACCTGACGCGACAAATCTTTATCAGCTCGTTCCATGTTTTATTGAAAGAATGATAAATTTTTTAACTTTGACAATCATTGGTACAAATTTTATAGTTTCCTTATACTTAATATCAAACTGTTGACTACAGAACACAAGAATTTATTCAAACAATGCACTTTCATGATTTTTTGATGTAACAGTTTCGTATATTCTTTCTCAAAATAATACCCTATGTAGCTACAAGAATATTAAAGCTGCATTATCTATGTTTTTCTTGTAAATATGTTACCTTTTAGCAGAAATAAATATCAGCTTTCAAAAATAATTTTTTATTTATTTCAAGAATGTTTTAGTTATATTTAATATTTTAGAATAGTTGATATATGTCAACTATTCTAAAATATTAAATATAGCTAAATCTTTTATAAATCTTAAATATTTTACTTTTTAGCTTATATCTAAGATAATCCAATTTGATAATAAGTTAACTATTACTTTCAATAAATATAGATTGTACAATTAATTTACTTTTTTAAAATGAAATTTATATGGAAACTTTTTGGCTTGTTTTGTGTCAATTCCATTTTATTAAAATTATAATAAAAAATAATTTTAATAATCTGGGGCTGTTGAGATAAAATGTTTTAAAACTCAGAAATGATTATTAAAAATGTTTAAATAAAATTATGATAAACATAAACAATAATAGTAGTATTAAGTTTAAATTAAAATAGGACATCTTACAGTTTAAAACAGCAATACAACTTTCGAAATGGCGAAAGCTATACTATGACATAGGCTATTGTATGTTCTCCCTTGCTACCTCCTCTACAAAAATTACCAAACTAAGCTCTTTATCATAACACTGTTATAAAACGTTGGGAAATTAGATTAAAAAACCATTAATGGTGATAAAATACATTTTACTTTAACTTTACTAACTGCCGCTAATGCAAACACT